ATGTTGCCTACATTGAATTGGAATATAGAAAAAACAACAACAACACCCCCCCCCCAAAAAAAACCGATTAATCATATTAAAGAATAAATCTAATATATAGGTAATTGCAAAAAATGCAACATTCCATATATGGACTTGATTTGAAACAGTTTAACATGTGATGATTAAAGTGAAGTGAAATGAATAGTATGGGATTATTTTTTTTTAGAAATGTACTTGTTACCTGTGTAATATTATACTGTGTGTACTACTTATGTTGACATGTAGTAATATGTAACAATAGTCAGAAGTAGAATGTTTGGTAGTAGAAGGTCGAGAAGGAAAGTATGAGGATAGAAAGCAATTGATATGAAAATGCAGGAATAATGAAGTTTGAAATGATGGACTGATCACTGGGTAGTGATCACTGTCATGTGTATCAAGTCCTTCTTAGTGCAGATTGAATGATATCGACCAAGCTTCACAGTAAGAGACGTAAAGCTCGGTGACACTCAATCGAATCCGTCAGGGAGCACCAATTAACTCAAGATTACAATTACACCTTGATGACAAGTGTCAAATAGCCTGAAACCTGGGTCCAGGGTTTCCTGTTGACTACCTCCAACCACCATCTAACGATGGATTGATATTTTGAAAATGAAATGTTTACTGTATAATGGATAGTGGCTGGCAGTGCAAATCAGGATGCGCACTTCATCCCATTTGGGACTCGTCAGCTGGATATACTTGAACCCCGAACAAGCTTGTGACTTAAGGCTATATAGAGGCAATTCACACAGGATGCACATATGTCAACATCAGACTGATCAATTACAGTCCTAAATAACAGCGAAAAGATACATGTAAAACAACATCAAGTGAATTTTATTTACTGTATAGTTCTTAGATTCGACTATCCCTACTTGTGTTATTCTTGTTCACACATTTATTGTACAACAATCAAATGATGGCCGACGGTAATGGCTGAAAATCCGTTAGATGTTTTGTCTCCTTCATTACCATTTCTCATCATTATACTCTAATTCTCTATATATATTGTTTTCATCAGCACTGTCTTACAATGGATTCACAATTCTATTCTTGTGAATGATCTTCTGTTTACTGACATTAAACTTCTACACGTTAGCTGATAGTTCACTTAGTACATTTTTGATATTAGCTAAATGACAGTAGGTACAATTTAAGAGATTTAGTTATGTAGACGTGATGGGAAAGATTTGTAGCTCAAGTCGATATATCAATTATTAACATTTGTTGAAGTCACGAAGTGGAAAACGATTAATCTAACAGAGAAGTATTACATCAGGTAATAGTGTGGAGTGTGCTACTTATTTCGACATAAGTATTATATAACGCTAGTCAGGAATAGAATGTCAGGCAGCAGAAAATCAAAAAGATCGAGGAGGAAAGAATGGGAACATAAAGCGTTTGATATGAAAATGAAGGAATAATAAAGTTTGAGATTATTGATTGACATTTTGCAAATCAAGTATTTACTGTATGGTTCTCAGATTTTAGTAGGATGTTCTTTAATGTTGTGTTCAAATAGGTTCAATTGTCCTCACTTATGTTCTTGTTCACTACAAACGTAATTTGTGGAAATACGTAAATTTAGAAATCTTTTGTCAGACTTTACAACCAGTTACAAGTAGAATCCTACTATTAAGATACTGAGTTTGACATTCAGTGAGAGCATTAACACTAGGATTCGTGTACATGTAACTGACTGGTGACAAACAGGGTGGAATCCAAATGATAGTTTGTATTGTTAGAAATAGTTATTAAAATGTTAAATTAAAATTGACTTGTGAATGACCATCCTCTATTGTACTGAGGTAGATACCTGTTTCTACTCGACACGTATTAGCTCCACTGGTCACGGTTTCCCAGTAGAATTCCGAGAATTCACTCACGAAGCTAGTCACTAGACATTAACACCATTGGATGCTGTTTCAGTGGTGTAGACTTTGGGTTCGAAGCCCGCTTGCGGGATCGTGGGTGCTTACTGTTGACGAGTTCCACAATAGGAAGAAACAGTCATCAAGTGCTCCCAGATTTTCGATGATGGACTAACATCAACCGGTTCACGATCTCTATGAAAAACATAATCATCTACATAACCCCATACTGATAATATCCGGCTTTCCATTTAATCTGAAATACGATTCAGTAAGACGTTAAGAATAATGTGAGGGATTTAGACCAGATAATGTCATCGTAATTACCCTGTTTTTCTCCAACGAATTATTATATTAATTAATTCACTTGATAGTGAAACGCGCGTCCTGGATTCCACTGCTAGCCACTATCCATCTTTGCTTATAATGCTTGTAAATTAAGGCAATACGCACAGTATGCACATATGCCAATAACAGACTGATCAATTGCAGTCCTAAACATCAGTGGGAAGATTCAAGTAAAACAATATCAAGTGAATTAAACTTCACCCCATTGCACAAGCAAGTGGCTATCAGGACTCAGTAGCTAAGTGAATAACGCGATGGCGTTTGAAGCGGACGGTACTGGGTTCGAGTTGCAGAGTGAACATCAACTCTGAGATGCAGGTACATCCAGCTGACGAGTCCCAAATAGGACGAGACGCGCGTCAAACTGGATTCCACTGCTAGCCACTATCCATCTTTGCTTATTATATTAATTGTTAAATGATAAGTACTATCTTGACTGTTTTACACATTTCCACTTGTTTTCATGTAAATGAATAATTTATAAGTTATCAGTATCCCGTATTATTAGGGAAAAGATAGATAGAATAGCAAGGTTGGTTTATAAATTTTAGATAGAGAAATTCATCAAATGAATATAAAATCTTCATTGTTGAATTCAGTAGTTGATCTGAGTTAGATCACCACTAAAAAAACTTGCAAGCACTGGACGGTCGTTTTGTCCTAGTGTGGCACTTCTCAACAGTGCGACTCAGGACCTTTGGTCGCATGCACGGACGCTTAAGCTCTACATTACTGATCAGACTTTTAATGATGTTTATATCTAAATTCAATTGATCTTCAATGATCTCACACAACTCTTCATCCATTGTCTGAGGTGGATAACTGTTTCACACTTGACACAGATTAAACTTCATTAGTCACGACTTCTTACTTGAATTTCAGGAGATCCAACTTGAAACTAGTCATTAGTGAGCACATGGTTATTATCAGTATGGGGTTATGGTAACTGTTAAGTTTTTGATCACTACAACCCCATACTGGCTATCCATTAAGATCATTTAATCAATTATTAATTTTACTCTATTATCAAAGCAGATAATGACTGGATTTCAGTTTGTGTTTAGTTAACCTAATTTTGATAAGAAGTAACTAAACTAAAAAATCATCACTTTAAACTGTTAATCAAGTGACAGGGGAATTCACTACTACTACTACTACTACTACTACTACTACTACTACTACTACTACTACTACTACTACTACTACTACTACTACTACTACTACTACTACTACTACTACTACTACTACTACTGAAGGCCGCTTGTTGATTAAATATACTTGATTAACTCAATGTGCGAAAATTTAACATTAACAATTACTCACTCACATATTTACTTACTTACTTACTTACGTCTGATGGAGGAGTGTAAGCCGATCACTAGCACTCTCCATCCAACTCCGTCTTGGGCAATTCTTTCCAGTCACTGTCATTAAAAAGGTACAAGTATTTATAAACAATTGTCTACGTAAGATACTAAATGTCCGTTGGCCGAATACCATCATCAAAAGCCTAGTGTGACAGAGGACAAATCAGCTTTCATCTGAGGAGAAAATGAAGAAAAGACATGGAAAGTGGATAGAACACACATTGAGGAAATCATCAAACTACATTACGAGGCAAGCATTGACTTGGAATCCTGAAAGGAAACAGAAAAGTGGAAGGCCGAAAAAACACTACGTCGGGAATTGAAACTGACGTGAATAGGATGAAAGACAGCTGGAAAGTAAGTGTTAGGACAGAGTTGGGTGGAGAGCGATCTATACTCCTTTATCCGGGGTAACAGGCGTAAGTAAATCAGTAAGTTGGAATAGGTTCAAAAGTAATCAAAGGCTTGAATTATGTACAAGTTGGCATTTATCAACTATTCTCTCCTGAAGTCCTGAAAAGACAAGAGCTTTCTTTATTATTATAATTTGATCATTACTAGAAACTAAACAGATATGATGTTGGTCACTACTCAATGATCAATCAATTGTAAATATCTTATTCTTACAAGAGGTCGCTGTCAAATTTGGATGATATGAGATTGAATCCTATAGGAGGGATCATTTGCCTCATGACCACAAGTATAACTTGCTATCGGATACTAATCAAAACAAAGCTAAGATTTTCTAAAGACTAACAGAATATTTCGTTTATTCATAGTTTCGATGATTTACTACAACCAATTCATGATTACCGATGAACTTACGTACTAAATTACTTTAAAACGAATTACACATCTATCGATCTAGTTCAATTCTAACTATCCATTAACAGAGGTAAGGGGGGTCAAATAAACCACATTCTAGTACATTCCAAATTTAGTTAAATGTCAATCAATTCAATATGAATACTTGTAGTTCTATTCAATGTTTCGTTTCGTAGCCAACCACCCACCCATCCCCCCATCCACCAACTCTATTTTCATCCAAGGTTATTATTTAATATAAAATATTAATGTTACATTTATAAACATAATTAAATTTATAAATTCATTATTAGTTTATTATATAATAGTGATTATATACAAATGTAAACATAAATGTAAATACTACACTACAATAGCCAAAATGGTAGTCGAATTCCATCATCATCATCCCCATCATTACCATCACCATCATCATACACATTAAGATACTTGTTCTCATCATCTTATCATTTGAATATTCATTTATTCAGTAAATAAACCAATCAAATTTAAATGGATTAATATGATTGGATAGAATTTTTTTTGTAAACTTTCAGGTCGCTGATATATATATATAAGTAGATAGATATTGCGGCATACAATTCGATTACCATTTATCATTATTATTATCATTACTATTACTATGAGTTTAATAAACACATACATAATCTATCTTATATGTTTCATTTTATTATTAATTCAAAAGAATAATGCATTTGAATATGGTTCTAATAAAGAGTATATTGATGAAGAAACATTGAATCGATTCATAAACGATACTGATGATGACAATGATCTCTATGATCATAATCATCATCATCATCACCGTCATCATCCACGACATCGTAGCCATCCACGAGATATTCATAAAGTAAGTGAATGAGTAATGTTTTAAATTAGAAGTTGTAATTAAAAAAGTTCAACCATTCATAGTGGGCAATAGTAGTCAATTGTCCAATAGTGTAAATTGATTAAAATTAAACACATACACTATTCATCACAGGATCAATAGTGCCCGCAGTTTCGAGCCACATTGCAACATGGTCGATAGCATTCGATCTGCACCAATAATAAGGACTAGACACGTATGACATTGGTCACCACCCAGTGATCAATCAATTGTGAACTGAACCAAAGTCAAACTCAATTACAGTGAAATATAGCTAGCACTGGAATTCGGGATGTGTGTTTTGTTCTATTTAAGCTTTATCAGGTGGTTATACCTGATCCTAGAGTTGATATTTAGTTCGGCTTACAAGTCCTAAACATGACGAAACACTGATCCTGAGTTCTGTCGCCAATTATATCTCATCTGTTTTATACTGAATTTGTGTCATAATGGTTTCATCGAGGTAATCTATACAGGATGCACATATACCAAACAGGACTGATCAAGTTTCAACAAAAAGATAATTCAAGCCATTACAAATGGAATGAGTTACATAGGTTGGTATTAAAGGTATGATCCGATTGATCATAACAGATCATTTATTAGCACTTTGATAGCACTATCATTAACAAGAGCACATTACATGCCATCCTAACATGAGGTTCGACCACTTAACCCTTCAACATTGTCACCATCCACAAGATATTCGTAAAGTAAGTGAGTGAGTGAGTGATGTTTTAAATTAGAAGTTGTAATTAAAAAAGTTCAACCATGTCAAATGTGAGATAGTTATTCATAACAGACAATAGTAGTCAGTTGTCCAATATTGTGAATTAATTAAAGCTAAACACATACACTATTTGTAAACAATATCAGTAGTTTAGAATTTAACGAGTTCACAAGTAAGACCGACAGTTTTGAATTTGATTCCTTGAACTAGCAGTCATGGATACTTCAATCTTAGTTGACTAGAATCAGTATCAGAAGGGGTTTTGTGGATGCGCACTGCTAAGTAGTCCCATACTAGGACGAAACCGCCGTCCAGTGCTTCCAGGTTTTCCATGGTGGTTTAGCTTCGATTGACTCATGATCTCAACCATTGAAATTATTAAAAATCTCCGCAAAACCCCTTCTGATACATAATTGATAGTCCGACTAATCTTTTTCACATATTAGTCTACCTGTAAACCAAAACAAAACAACGACATAAAGCCTTCCTAATGAACTCATATGTTGTACACGTTCTCAAACGCTGAAAAATATATAAACAGGTTTTTAAAAGTTTCTATTTTGGTAATACTTGAAAATAGATTGCTAAGATTACAGTTAAGAGTTTAGGGTTAAGATTTTAATTACGAATTAGATGAGCTTAACATCATTACTTGCTCCCAGTGGAGAATAGGCCGCCGTCCAGAATTCTCCAACCCACTCTGTCCTTGGCTTTCCTTTCTAGTTCTATTCATTTGTTGTGCATTATTCCACTTCTCGGAGTAATGTGTTGTTTGATCTTCTTCTTATTCGGCTAAAGCCTCTCTGGGGGTACTTCTGATCCCAAACCCGGATAAAAGAGGATATTCGATCATGGTGTTAGTTACTCTTTATTCTGTAGAAAATTAACTCGCTATGAAAACGCTAACCAGAAAACAATAATTCAATTTAACATCATGATTTTTACTTAATAGTTGGAAAAATTAACTTCCCACCATTATCTTAAACGTTTTGTAGAGTATACAAAAGTATTCCCATCATTCTTTGTACATGACAAGTAATAGGACTATCAACTGACTATTCAAACAAAAGTAGTTGGAAAAGTATTTCTGTACGAAACAGATTGATTAAAAATCGAGTAATTTAACAATGAATTAACTTCAAAGTTGAATTTACAAATCAGTCTAAGCTAGATGATCATTGTAAACCTAGAAGCATTTGAAGATTGTTTCGTCCTTGTATAAAACTACTCAACAGTACACATTCACGATTTCGCTTTTGGGATTCGAACCTATCACTTTTAGCCTCGAGTGTGAACGTTTCATCTCTAGACCACTGAATTAGCACACAACAGTGGTCTAGCTTAGATTGACTCATGAATTCAACTTTGAAAATATTAAATTTCATGTTAAAACCACTGATGTATCACAACAAAGATTGAACGAATGGTATTTCTTAGGACATTTATTAACTAGTATTATACAGGTTATTATAATGACAGTTTGCCTTGTTCATAATCACTTTTAACTTGTTTGTGTATGATTAGGATATTTTTTTTTGTGTTATTATGTGATATAGTTCAAATATATAACAGTAGAAGTTGTTTATTGAGTTCCCTTCAAACTCGAGGCAGAGGATAAATGATACTACTTGGATAGTATACCAATGACAGTGTAGCTTGCATTGGCTTAAGACTAATTGTCAAGATCAAAACGTATAACTGGTCAAGTTTAAAGAGATAAGTTATAGATGGAATAGTAGACGGGGGAGGGGGAGGGGAAAAGGAATATAATCAGGATTCTGATTAGTCAATGTAACACAAGTTATAACAACTAATACATATCATTGTTCTTGTCCGAAACTTCTAAATGAAATTATAATTGATCAAACAACAAAGTATTCACTTTTGAGAGTTGGCTATAATACACACAATCAAAAGGCAATGTTGAACGTTAAAAACAACAAATTAGTTGATTCTGTTCATCACAACAGTTACTCAGAATTATCTTAATGAGAAGCTAAACAATAACAGTGACATATCTTATAAGGTAAAGGTTAGAAATGGTCCAGAATTTTTTTTATTAAACTGTTATTGATAATAACAAAGATTCATTGTAGCTTATTTTAATAGCCTATTACTTACTTACTTACTTACTTGCTCACTCACTCACTCACTCATTCACTTAATCAAAAACTTACTTACTTACTTTACTTACTCACCTACTTACTTACTAATTAACACACTTACTTACTGACTAATTAACTTACTTACTTACTCACCTACTTACTTACTAATTAAATTACTTACTTACTCACTTACTTACTTGCTTACTTACTTACTTTACTTATTTACGTTACGTTACGTTACGTTACTTGCTTACTTACTTACTTTGCCTACTAACATTACTTATTTACTTACATACTTTACTTATTTGCGTTACGTTACGTTACGTTACGTTACTTACTTTACCTACTTACATTACTTACTTTACTTACTCACCTACTTACTTACTTTGCCTACTTACCTTACTTACTTACTTTACTTACTTACACACTTTACTTATTTGCGTTACGCTGCGTTACTTACTTACTCACTTACTTACTTACTTACATCTGTTACTCCTAATGGAGCATAGGGTCCAAGCACAGTATTCAATAGCTTATTACCAATAATATATATATATATATATATATCTTTTTTTTTTATAATTTTAATAGAATGTAGGACGAAAAACTCAATTGAAAATGTTTCCATGGAGTATACATTTTAATCGACCAAAAACACAAGAAATTTATGTATTCAATATAGAACGTTATAGTAATTGGTCTGAATGGAAAGAATGTTTACCAATGGAATGTATTGAAATACGTTATCGTAAATGTTTAGATAATTCATGGAAAACAATATCACCAAATCTTATTCATACAACTAGATGTATATCAAAATATTATGCTGAAAAACGTACATGTTTAAATAAGACACAATGTAATGAACATAGTAAGTTATAAAATGATTATTATATTGAATTTTTCTTAAATGAACCAATTAGATTTAAGATAACAGATTTGAAATTTTACCGCGAAATTCATTCATTCAATTTTGGTTAAATAGAGTCTTATCATTATAGTTTATGTCAATTCGTGATGAAAACTCTAAATGTGATTTCTAACCCTTAAACATCAATAACGTTTATTTGGTCTTATTTAATAAATGGACATTCTCAAAATCATTTTAGAGTCACTCAAAAGTCGTCTATGAATTATTATTATTATTATTATTATTTTAACACAAGTATAGGTACAGGGAAGCACCAAATACATATGCGCCACACGAATCTCATTTGATAAGTGTGAGGTCTGTAATACTACCCGGGTGCCCAAACCGAAACAGGTGGTTTTCTTAGGGGGCCACACCCCGAGCCTTCGACCTGGACGTCTGACCCACAAGGCAGTGGAGCATCGTAAGGAGATGCAGTCCCATGGTAGCCGGTGACCAACGATTGGTTCATACGCCATTTGTTCCTTCAGGATACTGGAGCCAGCCCATGTGCACCATTGGTTTGGGATCCGGTTAAAGCGCCGGAAATTCGCTTTTCGTCCTCTCATTTTTGTAAACAACACCCCCACCACGAGAAGGCAGTGAGTAGGACTTCCCTGGTAGAGGCTATATACGCATGGCCATTTGAGAGCATTTCGAGAGGGAGAGCGGACTCTCCCCACTCTCGGCCGTACCAGGGCATTTGGGGGCCTATGAATTATAGTCTTACTGATATACGAATTGAATACATTGTTTAGAATAGAGAGATTATAAGCTTCAGTGGAACTCAAGATTTGTGTTATATCCTATTTAAGACATGTCAACTAGGCTTGTCTACATTCTAGTATTCATATTAACATTAAGACTTGTGATAAATTACTCTATTGAAGAATATATTCATAATAGGACGAAACGGCCGTTCAGTGCTTCCAGGTTTTCTATGATGGTCTAGCTTCAACTCACTCATGATCTTAATCATTCAAATTACTACAATCTCCAAAAAGCCCCTTGTGATAAGTATATATCTTAATGAAGAATAATCGAAATTCAGTTTTGAATATCAATTTGAGATATATGGTTTACATCTACTTTTTGAAGTTCACATATTGTAATGAATATAACCGCTGAATAAATAGTCTAGGAAACAACGCTACTGTCCGAAGTTATATGTACGAAGTTTGAGTCTCTATGTGAATACCAACATTAATATGTATGTATGTATGTATGTTGGGTCCTAATGAGAGCGAAGTCCACAACTATAATTCTACTAATATCAATTTTCAAATAAAACAACCAGTTTGTAACTATGGCTAATAATGGTGTCATCATTCATAGGGCTTGCGTAACCATAGCAACTAATAAAATATAAAGCTGAATAGTGGATAATATGAAAGGATAAAATGCTACAAATGCCCTGGTACGGCCGAGAGTGGGGAGGGTTCGCCCTCCCTCTCGAAATACTCTCGCATGGCCACGCGTATATAGCCTCTGTCAGGGAAGTCCTACTCACTGCCTTCACGTGGCGGGGGTGTTGTTTACAAAAATGAGAGCACGAAAAGCGAATGTCCGGCGCTTTAACCGGATCCCAAACCAATGGTGCACATGGGCTGGCTCCAGTATCCTGAAGGAACAAATGGCGTATGAACCAATCGTTGGTCACCGGCTACCATGGGACTGCATCTCCTTACGATGCTCCACTGCCTTGCGGGTCAGACGTTCAGGTCGAAGGCTCGGGTGTGGCCCCCTAAGAAAACCACGTGGTTCGGTTTGGGCACCCGAGCAGTATCACAGCCCTCACATAAATCAATTGAGGTTCGTGTGGCGCATATGTATTTGGTGCCTCTCTGTACCTATACTTATGTGTTAAAATAAATAAATAAATAAATAATCATTAACTAATTAATTAAACATAGAAATTAGTAGTAATTAACAACAATAACTAGAATTTATAACTGCAAAATAAATTACATTGTTAATTCACTTTACGATGAGTAAATAGAAGGTACCGGATTCGAGTCCTGAAATAAATATCAATTCTAAGATCTAGCTATGTTCAAATGACGAGTTTCAAACAGGATAAAACTCATATCTTGGATTCTACTGACATAATTGTCTAATCTTTTTAGTGATCAAGTTTTAATGTAGCTATTAGTCTAAGTTAATTGACATAATGTATATTATAACTTGTGATCTTGTACCCCTATCAATATTTATGATGTAATGATACCGTCAATTAAAGAACAGTGATTTATCGACCGATCAATGATGCGTAAAACCCGTACGAGGTGTTTAGATTCCTTACAAGTTCTTCGTCTTTCCAAATCATCCCTGCCTGTCTGTTGAGTCCAAAACATCAATCACAGCCTCTACGATATGAATCTTATATTTCAAACATACTGGGTTTATATACAAACCAACCAGACCGCATCGTACCATAAAATGGATAATAACATTTGTACAAGATTTAGCCAAATGGGGCTGTGAATGTGGGAGACTGTAGTTAATAGATTGGGTATAACTCGAGAATGGCAAATCGTATCATAATAATCCATAAGTCAAAATGAAGCTTATAATAAGAGGAATATAAATATACATAATCTAGTTGCTGAACAGTTATAGAATATGAATATATGTATAGTATTTATCCATAAGTGTATCCCAACAGTTACTATTCATTATTCCCTTAGGCATATATCAATGTACAGTGCGTTTTGATGTTAAATAATTAAGTTCAATCAATAAGCAATTCTCCTTCACCTAGGTTACGTAGAAATCCACATTCATGAATAAAATAGATTTAGTAATACTAATGTGATTCGTTCATTCCCCATCCCGATCCCTAACCCTCCCAGCAAGATATGAATCTATATCACAATTAAAAATATACCCATTCATACATCTTTTCTATCAATAACCTCCTATAAAACTAAACTGGATTGGTTGAAGTTAGATATTAACATCGTTAGATACCGGCTCAATGGTCTAATGATTAAGCACTCGCGCGCGAAACTGATAAGCCCTGGGTTGGAAACTCGCGTGTGGGGGGTAGGATCGGGGATGTGAACTGGTCTAGCTTCGATTGACTCATGATTTGAGCTATTGAAACTAAACTTGTTTCTTATTATTGATATCAGTTCTCTTTATAAGTTTAAATGTATCTTGGTGATAATTTTTTTGTTTTGTTTTTATAATATGTATTATATAAGTTTGTATACATTACAGATATGACAATGTAACGTATATAATTTAAATAGTAAAGGTTATTGTATTGAAGTGAATGTATATGTATATCCATTGATCATTGATTATAGAATAATAACCTTATCATTTGAATCACATGTATGATGATATATGATGATATGAATTGAATAGTAAGAAGGATTAGTTAAGTGTATTATGTATGTAATTGAATGCATAGTTTGTTTTATTCATATCTAATCTTAAATGATAATATAGATTATGAATTTAATAGTTGAATTCATGAATTGAATAAAGATAGACTATCATAGAAAACCTGCGAAGACTGGATGGTTATTTCGTCCTAGTATAGCAGTCCTCAGTGGTGAGCATCTATGATACTATACGAAAGAGAGTCAAATCTAGGACACGCGACCAATTAATCTCTAGACTACTGATCCAGGATTCAATGATGTTAATGTTTAACTTCAACCAATCCATGAAATTGAGCCATCATCTATCATTGTGGTCTAGTTTTAATCGACTCATGAATTCAACTATGAAATTACTACAATCTCCACAAAACTCACTTTCTGATAATCATCATCATGTATTCACTATTGACTGGATTCAAGAGATATCTTATGGAGTTGAGGTGAGAAACCGTGATCAGTGGAGTTCAATCGGATCGGTTGTGAAGTAGTGGTGCAATTTCGTAGATTGGTTGAAGTTAGATATTAACAACGTTGGATTCTGACTCAATAGTCTAGAGATTAGGATTTCGCGCGCGAGACCGAAGGACCTGGGTACGAATCCTGCGAGCTGGATAATGGTTGCACGCTACTTATTTTATTTACTTATTTGAACACGTAAATATTGATACAAAGGGGGACCGAATACATATGCGCCACACAAGTGAGCCACTTGATTTTTGTGTGGGCTGTGATACCGTCCGGGTGCCAAAACCGGGGCACGTAGTTTTCTTAGTGGGACAGATCCGGAGCCTTCAACCTAAAGTTTTAACCCACAAGGCAGTGGAGCGACGTAAGAAGATGCAGTTTTTCATGGTATCCGGCGACCAACAATAGATTCATACACTAATTGTTTCTTCAGGATCCTGGAGACCATGTGCACCATTGGTTCGGAATCAGAGTTTTCCAACTCTTCTAGGTGAATACTCCATATCTACCAACCTAGTTAAAGCACCGAACATTCGCTTCTCGTCCTGTCCATTTCTTAAACAACTACTTCTTTTAATAACATCATTAATGTTTATCCTTAAAATGATGAATATTAGAATCTGAAAAACAGTAACTGTAAATTTAACGTTCCTAATACACGTTAACTGTAAACGATTTCGTTCAGCATTGACCTTGTTTACTAACTAAAGACTAATGTGTTTCATTTTTTATACCATTTTTCTTCTCCATGGCTGGAGTATAACAGAAGCTCCCCTGAAGTTAGTCATTGTTGTATAACATGCGTCCATTTTTTTTCACTGATTCCATGCACCTCCAAGTTGTATCTCTTCATTTCTTCAGCGATTTGGATGACTTTCCCGGTCTTCCATATTTTACGAGAATTTCATGTACCTAAAGTAATGGTTACCCCGGTTGTTAGAATAGGCATCATCCTCGTGACTTCCGAAAGAACTCGGCTTTCACCATTAAGCGTCATAACTTTTCGATATGAAGTCCTTCTAACTCCCAGGGCGGAGTTTAAAACCTATAAATTATTTCTTCTGGGTAGAGAGTTTTTTTCTACAAGATGGGGTCGCTAACACTATGCCCAACCCTCCCCATTTTATCCGGCCTTTGAACCGGCAGTAGCCTCAGAGGGGCTCCATGTGGAGTTGTTTTTTTTCATACATTTCATATCTATCACTAAAACTGTTTTTACATTTATTCTATCTATGTTTATCATATCTATCCTTATTCATAGCTGGTGAACAAATTATAAAAAATCTAACTAATACATGTGGAATACGTAAACAAGATAATCACATAGTAGAAAAAATTCTTGGAGGGAAATCAGCTGAACCACATTCATGGCCATGGGCTGTAAGTTATGATATGCATAAACTGAATATAGTTAATTTGGTATTTTTCTATGTTGGTACATTCAGTTGAATGTTTAATTTATGAAGCCTTCAATTGTTCTTCTTCTCCTAGATGATTAGTTCAAATCTGTGAAAATAACTTGATGATATTAGATTCAGTGTTTGAAATTATGAGTCAATTGAAGTTAGATTACCATGAAATACCTGGAAGCAGTGGACGGCCGTTTCGTCCTGGTATGGAACTCCTTCTTTGTAGTGCGCATTCACGACCTCACCTCACGAGATTCGAACCCAGGACCTATCAGTCTCGCGCATTGAGGAGTCCCACGGCCGTCCAGTGAATTCAGGTTTTCCATGGTGGTGTAGCTTCAATTGACTCACGATCTCAATCATTGAAATTACTAGAATATCCAATAAACCCTTCTGATATTAGATTAGTTGGAACTGAATAACTATTAGTTTATTTGAATGTTCCAATTGATGTTTAGGACTGTATAATTGATTAGTTTCTTATTGATATATATGCATCCTGTGAAGATTGCTTCGATATTGTCTTAAGCCGTTAGTTAGATGTACCTGCATCTCAGGGTTGATGTTCACTCTAGGACTTGAACTATGCTAGCTGTATATATCCGACTGATGTTGCTAAAGATTTATAAATTAGTGTAATGTCAAACTGTCATTGATTAGTCTCTTATTGGCATATATTCATCCTGTGAGGATTGCCTCGATATTGTCTTCAGTCATAAGCATTATATGTAAAGATAGATGGTCACTAGCAGTAGAATTCAGGACGTGTGTTTTGGGACTCGTTAGCTTGATGTACACACCAATCATTCTCTGCTCTTGTCGAACTTCTGAACCTTGTGCCTCTAGACATTTTACTTTCGGTTGATCATACATACTACTTATATCTATCGACATTAGTAGCACACATCACACGAAAAATGATGCTTAGAATTATTTACTGCAATCGAATAAAGGATAATGAATACAATTATGATTTTTATATGATTCTGTAATGCATTATAAGCGTTTATTTCAAACAAAGACCTACACTATTAGATGTTCTATGTCTTTTTTAATACTTCGTTGGAAAATCTCTGATGAGATTGTTCAAAATCAGTAATTAACTCATCTCGTTCAAAGTATACAACACTAACAAGATTACCTCTTTTTATACACCAGTCTTATAGCAGTACAAGTAGCCTTTATTTAAATTAGGTTGCCATGACAACAAATTACATATTACCGAAGTATATTCAATTTTAAATTAAACAACCATTAATAAATTGAATTCATGTTTACTCTTATTATTAAAGGTTCGTTTATCTGTAAAGTTACCACAACGTAGACCAGTTACATTCTGTGGTGGAACATTAATTGCACCACAATGGATATTAACTGCAGCTCATTGTGTTCTAGTAGAAAATAAACATATACCAGTTGGTAAACCGGTTATGTTAGCTGATCATATGAAAAGTACAATCTATGCACATTTAGGTGATCATGATCGATATAAACAAGAAGCTGCACAAGTTGATCATCGTGTTACTGTTGCTATACTTCATCCAAATTATCATAGAAAATTACAAACTGATGGATATGATATTGCATTGTTACGTCTTTCAGAACCAGTTAAAACAAGTATGTTTAATATTATTGTCTATTCCTGACGTTATCTGGCATATATATACCTTATAGTTTACACTATGAATTAATCTTAGTTAGGTACCTTATGAAAACCTGAAAGTCATAAACAATTATTTAGTCCCAGTAAACAAATCCTTAAGAGTACGCATTCACAAATTCATCAATGGGAACCGAACTCATGGCTTTCAATCTCGCGTTTGGAAGAATCTACACATTGAACAGGTACAACGAGTGATTTACAAGTATACTAACCCAGAAATCACAACTTTTATTCATCGATAGTTAGACAAGTATAGACCATCAAGATCAAACCAACCGAAAGTACTAGTACAGTCAGTCAGTCAGCTGCAACGTAAGATAATGCACATATATGCATCGGTCCAAGTTGTCATACCGCATTAGCACACAAGATGAACACCGGATTCATAGAAGTAGTTAATTCAATGGTGGTAATATATAAAAGAAAGATTGCATATAATACAGGAAGAAAGAATTGGTTAGTAGAAAGGTATAAGGTAATTCTAATCTCATAGTTTAAGGGAAGACAGAGAGTGTATACAACAACGCCATTGTGATCGATTCTGAGTCATGTCACTCAGAGTCTCCAACCATTGGTTACGATAATCACACGGACCCCAACCAAGTGGTCTGCATCTATTAACATGTCTTAGACTAAAAGTTAGTCACTTCAAGCACTGATGCCACGTTTTAGTTTGACCGCTCACCAACTTTCTTCCAACTGTATCCAACACTAGTCAGCATTGCGCGTCTTGGTAATCGATGTTCAGGCATACGTAACACATGGCCCAACCATCTCAGTCGATGAAGATTTATAACCTCATCAACTGATTTACCATCATTTTCAAGCATCCTGCTGTTATTGATAATTCATTTGTTTAATAATCATAATTCAGAGTATTGGAGGTTCATTTAGGGTTTTTTTATTAGATATATTATTTAAATTCTTCACATTTTCTTTTGATTAAGATCATGAACCGATTGATGTTGAACCATTATTGAAAATGTAGAAGCACTGGATAGCTGTTCCGTCTTATAATGAGACTTCTCAGTGGTGCGCATCCACAATCCCACTCGCGGGATTCAAACCCAGGCACTTCAGTCTCGCATTCGAACGCTTAACCTACTGGGGGCCACTGAGCCGGCTGCCATCCAATAATGTTAGTGTTTAACATCAACCAATTCACGAAATCGCGCGAATATCTTCCATTTCACTGAGGTAGTTACCTGTCTCTGCTCGATACGGATTAGCTCCACCGGTCATTGCTTCTCATTACTAGAACTCTGAGAATTCCCTCACGAAACTAGTTACTAGTAAGCACATGGTAATTATCAGTATAGAGTTGTGGAGATTATTAAGCTTTTGATTGAGATCATGACTCGATTGATGTTAGAGCACCATTGAAAACCTGAAAGCATCGGACCTCCGTTTTATTCTATTGTAAGACTCCTCAACAGTGTGCATCTCCGATTCTCGCTCATTGGGTTCGAACCCATAGCCTTCAGTTTCGTATTATTCATTTTAACTTAACTTTTTCTTCTTTTTTCTTTTTCTTTTTCTTTTTTTTTTAAAGCACCAGAAATTGATTTTGCATGTTTACCAACAAAAAATTTAAAATTAACATCAAATTCAAAATGTTATGCTGTTGGTTGGGGTAGTAATAAAGGTGCAAAAATACCAACATTTGATAATATACATAGTATATTAGAATCATTATTTTTACCATTTCCATCTTTATTTACAACACCATTTACATTTGGTAGAAGAGAATCAACAATATGGAATATAAAAAAATTAGAAGAAGAAGAATCATCAAGAGAATTAAATGAAGTTGAATTACCAATTGTTTCTATAGATGATTGTCGTAAACATTATGCTGATATTAGTTCTAAAGTTCATGTATGCGCTGGTGCTAGAAATAAAGTAAATAATAATTAGATTATTCTTTTATATATACTAAGAATGAAGAAAATTTATGGAGATCACTTTATCAATTGATTTACCATCCTCACTTAGTACATGTTTCCTAACAACTACATTACTTACTCGGTTGTCCTAGGATATACGAGAGATGCTTTGAAGACACCTATGATTGAATATTAGTAACCTACGAATATTCTCTACTCTTACCGGTCATGTTTCATAGACATAAAGTAGGACAGAATGAACTGTTGTGCATTAAAACTCGTCTTTTGGTTGATAGACGGATATCTCGCTTACAGCATAAATGATGCATGTTGGTAAAAGTTAGTCAAGCCTTTTGTATCCGTACTGAGATTTTGTCACACACCAGACCACAAGGGTTGACGAAACTTCTAAGATAAGTGAAGCAGTCTACACTCTCAACTATTTCACTCCCTATCATTAGTTCAGGTGCCGATGTAATTCAACCCTAAAGCAACATTTTGCATAAATGATATCATATTCTTTCATTATATTTTACCATATTTTATGATAAAAAGTAAATTGAGATAAACACATTAGTGTTACTTAATAAACTATGAGTAGCTATTAATTTTATTTTATTTGAACACATAAATATTGGTACAAATGGGCATCGAAAACATAGGCACCACACAATTAAACCTCTTGATTTATGTGTGAGTTGTGATAATGCTCGGGTGTCCAGACCGAACTCCTTAGCAGTATGCATCCATGATTCCGTACACAAGAGTCGAACCCAGAACCTTCAGTCTTATGTACAAACAATCAACCTTTAAATCATTGAACTTTATGATTAACTTGTTAACATTTCTTCATACTCATCTCATATACTTATCCCTTCTTGAATGTTTACTGATTTTCTATTCAGTTAGCAACTGTTTTTCTTTTTTTTTTAATTTTAATCATTAGGATACATGTGCAGGTGATAGTGGTGGTGGTCTTTATTGTTATTTAGAAGATACTAATCGTTGGCATGTTGTTGGTGTAACAAGTTTTGGTTTAGCACGTGGTTGTGGTTTAAATCCTGGTGTTTATACATCAACAACATCACATATGGATTGGTTATCAAAACAATTAGCAACAAAAATATTTTAAATGAAATCAAAAAGAAAGAAAAAAAAGAGAGAGAATAAAGAAAAAAATCAATGAGAAAAAAAGAAAAAAACATTCTATTGATGATAATCATAATGATCTTTATCCATTACTTACTTTATTAAGATTTCTTTGAAGAAAAATCGATATGAACATGATCATATTGTTCCATTGAATATTGAATATATATTTTTTATTGATTTTATTATTTATGTAAATTTAAATAAATCTTATTAGATAAATTAGTAATTAAAATAGACCCCCCCCCATTTTGTTTTATTTATTTATTTATTTATACATATAAACATTGGTATAAAGAGGCATGAAATAGATAGATGTGAGGGCTAGGATACTGTCTGAGTGGTTAAACTGAATCAGATGGTTTTCTTAGGGGGGTGATACTTTGAGACACTGACCTAAAAGTCTAATCTAAAAGGCAGTGAAGTAACGTAAGGAGATGTAATCACATAGTAGGCCATTTGTTCCTTCAAGTTACTGAAGACCAGATACATTGGTTTGAAATGAGCGTTTTCTAACTCATCTAGGTGAACCCTTTGTGTCCACCAACCCGGTTAAAGCATCGAACATTCGCTTTTTGTCCCGTCAATTTCGTAAACAACAGTAATGTCACGAGAAAGCAGTGAATAGGGTTTCCCTGATAGTGGTTGTATACACGTCTCCATGTGAGAGTATTTGGAGAGGGAGAGTTGACTATCCCCACTCTCAGTCGTACCACAGCATTGATGGGTGACTCCAACCATACTCACACAGAAGTTTACATAGTGGATTAAGTGTCTAAATTACAGTGATCAGATAAATAATACAATAGTTGAATGGGCTTACTACAACTTTAAGCTTGGCTAGTTACCATTTGATATATTTGTCAATTGAAATATGACTTTTACAAATATTGGCACTGTGCCAAATCAATGATGTTTGACCAGTATAAGCAACCTAGCATCTTTATTAGTTCCTTTGTTCGCCTAGCCCGTCCAGTTAAGTTCAGAACACCGATGGCAGCTTCCACTATGTGAATCATTTATTTCAAACATACTTGATTTATATAACAACTAAACAGACCACATTACACCATAAAATAGGAAATAACGTTTGTACAAGATCTAGCCAAAAGTGGATGTGAACGTGGGAAACTGTAACCAATTAACTGGACATAGCTCAAGAATAGTAAGTCGTATCATAATAATGTATAGATCAAGATAAAGCTTATAATCAGAAGAATATAGATATACATAATCTAGTTACTGAATAATTATACAATAAGAACATATATAGATAACATTAGTCCATTAATAGTCCTCAAAAGTAACCCGTAATTTAATCTTCACTAGGATATAACACCTCCCCTTTTTTAAAGATTCGAAGTTTAGATCCTGATTTCTTTTCAAACATTATGTATAACTTTAAATTCTCTAACATTTTCCTCCCCCACGAAATAATGTTGGATCCTCATATATCCAAGCTACAATTAATGTGACTTTATTTAAAACATATTTTTCGCATTGAATAGAGATTCCATTGAAAGGGACTAAATGTTGAGGATGAACAACATTTGATCTGAAGTCATAAGGGTTTGATTCTTCTGAAACACATTCCTTAAATTCATTAAGAATCTTATTTTATATATATAATGTGGATTGGTTGAAATTAGACATTAACACCGTTGGATGCCAGCTCAGTAGTCTAAAGATTAAGCGTTCGCGTGCTAGACTGATACGTCATGGATTCGAATCTCGCAGGGCGAGATCGTGGATGCACACTCTTCACTAGGATATAAGTTTTTTGATAAGATAAAATCAGAAGATAGAATGATATGTCCATGAATCTGTAAAGTATCCGTTTTTCAATATCCCATATGTACACGGTATCAAGAGTGTTTTTTTTACGTCTACTCACTAAATCTATGCTGTATTTAGAAGTATAATTATCATTGAAGATTTCGTTTCAAGTTCTTACTTCTGTCTTATCTGTTTGTTCTCTCCATGAAGTGAAAATGGGCTATAGTGGATCATCTAACGAAGATAGATGTAAGTAGCTTTAGATGATTGAAATCAAATCCCTGATGGAAATTATGTTCTACTATGTAATATTCATTCATTAAATGAAACTTCTAGACATTCCACTTTTATTGAACACTGAAAATATTATGGTCAGCGTCAAATATTTTGTAGAGAACACAAGTATTTGGATCAGTATTTCGCTTAGTTAGTTTAAATTATTAATCATCAGAAGGGTTTTTTGTGGATATTATAGTAATTTCAATAGTTGAGATCATGAGTCAATTGAAGCTAGACCATCACGGAAAACCTGGAAGCACTCAACTGCCGTCTCGTTCTAGTATGGGACTCCTCAGCAGTGTGCATCCACGACCCCGCCGCCTCGCGAAATTCAAATCCAAAACCTATCGATTTCACGCGCGAACGTTTAACCTCTAGACCACTGAGACGGTCGATATCCAATGGTGTTAATGTCTAATTTCAATTAATCCACGAAATTGAGCGACACATCCACCACTTTCATCAGTGAGTTACTATCTCACAACAAACCTGGTTGAACTCTATTGGTCACTGCTTCTCACTAGAACTCCAGGAAATACCTGTTGAAGCCAGTCACTAGTGAGCATATGTTGATTAGTATCAGAAGTGGTTTTTTGTGGACATTATAGTAAGTTCAATAGTTGAGATCATGAGTCAGTTGAAGCTAGACCACCGTTGGAAACCTGGAAGCATTAGACGGCCGTTTCGTCCTATTGTGGGACTCCTCAGAAGCGCACATCCATGATCCCGCCTCGTGAGGTCCGGACCCGCCCAGTGCTTCAAAGTTCTCCATGATGGTCTAGTTTTAACTAGCTTATGATCTCAACTATTGAAATTACTGTTTATCAGTATAATCAAAGTCTCAAGAAGTTTATGAAACGTCCAGAGCTGTTTATGGAGATAACATAGAAGAAAACAATAATTCATAAGTGAAATGAAAGTTTCGATGAAGCTTATAAATACTGTAAGTATATTTAAAGGAATATTAAGATGCTTGTCAACTTCCTGTATTCATGAAAATATTAAATTTTTGAGTTCTTTTGTTTGTTTCTAAATCACTAATTCGCTGCCTGAAAGATTGCTGGCTGAAGAAATATTTGGAATTTTTTTACTCTGCATAGAATTCTAAAAAAACATAGAAACATGACAAGGTAAATGGATACCGTGAATCTAAATTACTTCAACAAATGATGGGTAGTGGCTAGCAATGGAATCCAGTTGGACGCGCGTTTCGTCCCATTTAGATACTCGTCAGCTGGATGTACCTGCATCTCAGAGTTGATGATCACTCTGGAACTCGAACCCAATACCGTTCTCTTCAAATACCATCGCGTTATCCGCTTAGCTACTGAGTCCTGATAGCCACCTGCTTGTGCAGTAAGATAAAGTTTAAATTCACTTGGTGTTGTTAACTTGAATCTTCCCATTGTTATTTAGGACTGCAAATGATCAGTCTCTTGTTGGCATGTGTGCATACTGTGCGGATTGCTTTAATTTATAAGCATTCTAAGCAAAGATGGATAGTGGCTAACAGTGGAATCCAGGATGCGCGTTTCATCCTATTTGTACAACGAAGTGGTTATCAAGACTCAGTAGCTAAGTCGATAACGCGATGGTATTTGAAGCGAACAGTACTGGATTAGAGTCTCAGGGTGAACTTCAACTCTGAGATGCAGGTACATCCAGCTGATGAGTCGCAAAACAGGACGAAACGCACATTCTGGATTCCACTGTTAGCCACCATCCATTTTTGCTTAGAATCATTGTAGATTAAGACAATATCGAGGCAATACGCACAGTATACACATATACCAATAAGAGACTAATCAATCGCAGTCCTAAAGATCAATGGGAAGATTGAAGTAAACAATCTCAGGTGAATTTAAACTTCACCCTTATTACACAAGAAAGTGGCTCAGTAGTTAAGTGGATTATGCGATGGCACCGACAGATATAGATAGTATCTAACTCCAATCGGAAGTGAAAAACCTAACAAGAGAATGCCACGAATGTCGACTTGAAGAAAACAGAAACGGAATTAGAAGTTGTGAATCAGAAGAATAATACAGAATATTAAAGACAAATGATGGAAGCGTGAAAAAGAAGTATATAATGTATGATTCTCATATTTTACTGAAACACTATGTAGTTTTATATTGGGATTTCGGTTATCCTCACCTGCGTTCTCTTTTATTACAGTAATAGTGGTAGAAGTAGTAGTATGAGGAATACATGTATCCAGTTTACCATAAACTGTTGGGGACTTTATATCCCCAGAACTCACTTGGAAAAGGATCTAATTTTGTAATATTATTTAGAAATTTTGAATTTCTTTGTTTTCGCGCCAAAAGCGCTCTTGTCAACTTCATGTCATATTTCTCACTTGGGAAATATCTTAAATGCTATTGGTCCTTTGTGTCTTTTAGTATGCTATTTGGTAACTCTTCAAAAGGACGGTTTTGTGCTGTATATATATATATATACGTTTTGATTTGTGTTTGTTGTGGATCGCTCGTTTCTGGCTGTTTGAAGAATATACTTCCCCATTTCAAGTTTGGACTTCTTCCTCTAGTTAGGGGGCTGGGATGCATCAGAATATCTAGCTTATTGGTCTTTAGTCACCGAGTCTTTGTTCTTGTTCGCAGATGAAGTGAACTCGTGATAGCTTCAAACCTAGCATAAACTTTGTCAAAAATAACAATCTTGACTTCCTAAACAAAGAATAAAAAGATATTTTGAGGTGTTTCTAGCTAATCTGAAAGTTCAAGGTTCAATCTAGTATGAAAATCAGCCTTCAAATGATTCCTAATTGTTAACCATTCTTTTTAACTGACGTTTTAATTAGGTAGTGAGAATTACCTTTAAAGCAAAGAATATGTGAAGGAAAACTATTTATTATGAAACGATAGAATAAATGAAATCAATCGAACAAATGTCTTTATGTACACATATACCACAAAGAATTTGTTTGTTTTTCTATAACCAACAATTTCAATCAACAAGTTGTCCTTTAATTTTAAGTTTCTTTAAAACACGTCCTTGTTCTAAAGCTGCTGCTCTTCTACGACGTTGTGAACTGCCAATACCATCTCCGGCAGATGATGAATTATCCGAGTCTAGATTCCCAGTACCTCCACCTCCTGATAACGCTGGAGATGATCGAGTAGTTATCAATCCACTAGAATTATACTGTCCACTATCTGAAGAATTCACGATAGATGATG